TTATCATAAGAAACGATATAAAAAGGATTAGTCTGTTCCTGGCCCCCAAAAATAAAGCTTTTTTACTTCTTTAGTTGTAGACATTTTTATGCATGAAATAAAATTGCAACCTTTATTCAGTTAGTATGTTACAATATTGCAATGCAATATTGTAACATACTAACTGAATAAGTGCATACCTCACATGATTAATAGGATTACATGGCATCTACACAAGCATAGAGTCCTGCATCAGAATCTGTTCAGCTTCTCTAAAAACAAAGGTACAATAGATGCCATCCATCAGGTTGTTAATTATATCCACCAGGCTAAACAAAACAATCAGCATACAGCAATTATCACTATTGATTTTAGAGGCGCTTTCAATCATGCCTAGTGGCCTTGGGCTATGCAGATGTCTCAATTATCCTAGCTTCACACAGGAACAGTGAACGCTTACAGGACATATGCAACGACATTCTCCATAACATTCACCAATGGAGTAATAAGCATAGACAACCCATTAACACAGACAAATGCAAAAGCATGATAATTGGTAAGAATGCACCACTTGTCAGGAAGGTTGTCATGACCCTTCAAATAGGTCTCATAGAATAAAGCAAACAATGGAAATTAAATATTTAGGTGTTATTCTTGACAAGAGCACATCCACATCAAATACATAATGAACAAAGCTAAAAAGACAACAACGCCCTCATTAGTATTGCTAGGAACACATGGGGCCTTGGCCCTAAAGCTACTAAGCTTATTTACAGGGGTGTAATTCAGCCAACACTCCTTTATGCTGTACAGGTCTGGTGTCACGTGGCCGCCAAAATCCATATTCGTAAAAAACTGTTATCTGTTCAAAGGATTGCAGCTTTCCACATTTGTAAGGCTTACAGGATCGCACTCACTAGTGCCCTTGGTAATGTCAGGATTAACCCGTAAGAAATTAAATGTATTATTTAGCAGGAAAATCTTGTCACCTTACCCTGGGGAGATTTTAGTGACTCAGATGTCAACAAAATGATTAGAATAGGTAAGATTTCCCTCAGTTTGACCTTGATCAATGATATAAAAAAATACAGCATCGACAAAAATACCTCTCGACTTACAATTACCACCCCTCCCATCAGTTTGCCCCTGATGTTTACTTCAAAGATCAAAGTGATCATCCCATGTTTAGGATTTACACTGATGGTTCCAAGATGGGGTGACAATATGGGTGCCGCTTTTATAGTTTACTCCGACATAAGCCACAAGCTTCACAATGCTTGCTTCCATCTAGGTATACACTGCTCAATAACACAGGTGGAAATTTTAGCTATTTATATGAGCTTAATTCACATTAGGCATAGGAAGGACAACAGACTACTTACGCTATCACATTTATTCTGACAGTAGGGTAGCTTTACACAGGATTGCAAAGTCTGATAGCTGCTTAAAACTCATCCTTCTCATACACCACATTCTCAGACACTTAGATAACAACATTAGAATAGATTTCCAATGGGTCCTTGGTTGTGGGGATCTCAGCAACAAGACCACTGACTGTCTTGCCAAACAAGCTGCAAAGTCTTCAGTCACTAGTACTTTCAGTTACATTCCTACCTCATACATCAACAATCATGTCAAGAAGCAAATCTTCATTCTCTGGCAAGTCAGCTGGGATAATGAAACCACAGATAGGCTCACCTACATTTTCATCTCCAAGGTTGACACTACTATGATTCTTCACCACTTTTACCCTAGTTATAGCCTCACTCAGCTACTTACTGGACACGGCAACTTTAAGCAATACAGTAGAGCATCGATTATCCGAATCAATGTTGTTTGGACTGGACTGGGGTTGTTTGGAAAATCGATTTTTCAGATAACTAATTATATACGAAAAAATACATTATTAATATAGTATATTAGTATATCCCAATAATAGTAAATTAATATATCCCATGTTTAAATTTTTCTCCGTTGCATGTTGCATGTTGCTTCATGTTGAATTTTTGTCAATGTTAAGCCTATTGAAAATTTTTATAATAATAATCTATTGTATCATTAAAAATTATTTCTTTATTTTGTACAAACAAAATAAATATATTGAAAAATATAAAAATAAAAAAAATTATATTTCGGAAGTTAATCTATTATCAAAAGCATCCTGATTCATCATGACACAGTCTGACTGAAACACTTTAGGTTAACAGACGTTTCGGTTGATCATCATTCAGATAATTGATGCTCTACTGTACTTGCATAGATTTAACCTTGGGGACAATGCAATTGTGGTATTCAGGAGGACCAAACACCACTTTACTCAGTTTTTCACTACAATAGGTACTGTACAATCACATTAGGGATAGTTTAATTAATGAGAGCTGCTATTCTTGAAGAATACAACTGGCCTTGCAACCTGCACCAGCTCACGTACAATGTTCCATCATCTACTCGCATTCATATTCCTTAGTGGGGCTCTTGAGAGCACTCTCTCTGGGGGCATAAATGGCAATTAGCTTTCCCTTGCTTTGATTCAACTGTTGGTATATAGCTGCCTTTCAACTTTGTATTTTAATTCTTATTTTCTGTCTTATTTTTCAGTCTAAATTCAGTTAGTCCTAATTGTAAGTTAGATTAGGGACTCTTAGCTTGGTTTCAGATTAGGTTAAATTAGATTAGGGTTTGTTAGCTTTAGTTGTCTGGTTAGGTTCGTCCTGGGTTATGGTAAGTTAGTTTAGTTAGTGAGTAAGTTAATGTTTAAAAAAAATATAAATAAATACAAAAAAAAAAAATAATAATAATAATAATAAAAATTTTGGGATCTTGCTCATTTGTCTTTGTCGGTCTGTTCGTCTCATCTAGATTGTCATTGTGTTTGTTGCTTTTTGTGCTGTCTGTCTAGCTGTTAAGTAGTTTTAAGATTTGCAATTGCGTTCAGTTTTATTAGTATTAAGTAGATATAAGTCTTCCTACTAACAGCCACTTGGCACTAACTTCTACATTTAGCATTCATGGTGGTTACTACTAAATTATTGGTGTTTGCTACACTCAGGTTTTCTTTTAGACCCTTCGGGGACTACAGTCTTGCAGCCTAAAAACTGTACTCCAACATCAAACATAGAGCCTTATGTACACCATTCAGAGGGATCCTATCTTTCTCTACTGTCTATCTCCTCTCCCTTTTCTCTTACACTCTTTTCTGCCAGCTAAACACTTCGTATACAGCCAATGTCTTTCTTGTTTGTATGTATGTAATTGTAATAAGTTGGTCCCAAAACACTATGTAAAATTAGTTAAAAATAATCTGCCTATTATGATCAAACTTCAGCTATGTTTTCAATTGTGATAATTACACTTGGGGACAAATAATAATTCTTAGATGTATGTACTGTATAACTTTGGAGATGAACATTCCTGTTGTGATTTCTCTAGTTTAATTTTGTGATCTATTGAGTTAAAAACTGTTGTTTAGAAGAAATATAGCATATAAAAATGAGTTATATTTGTATCATGTGTTTGTGATAAATAAAGTGTGAATGTGTGCAATTTATAATTGTTTGTAATAAATTGAGTTCAATTATGAAAATTTATTCTCTGTTCAATGTTATCAGCTGATTATTGTCATCAGAAATTGCAAGTCCCAAAGTGTTCATAATAAGCAGATTCCACTGTATAACAATACAAATGATATATTGTTGTTTTCTGTTATTCAACATTTTTCTGTCCCTTCCACTTTGAGTTACCAAGACTCTACTGTATCAAATTTATCATCTGCTCCAATGTTAATAGGTCATCCTACAATCACAATAATTAACACTTTTATAAATAAAAATAAACTCTAATTCAGTTTGCAACTTGTATGTAAATTATAACAAAAATTTTCTTTTTTTACACATCATTATACATTCAAAATACTTTATTTGATCTATTTTTTAAAATATTTTAACATTTTATAATTTTAATGTTTTAAACATGGCCAAAATTTTCTTAAAAGTATCATAGATTTAATAAATATATTATTAGTTTCCTTAATCTTTTAACATTTATGGTTCATTTTTCAAAATGGTGTCAAGTTTATTCATTTTCTAAAAGCTACTATTTTGCATATGATATTTCTGCAATACGTTTTAGATAAAAAATTCACATAAAATTTCAGTAGTTTTTACAGTTTCAGTAGTAGAATTTGCTTACCATAATCACAGATATTCTTATCGGTTGTTTAATGTTATCAGAATTAGCCTATCCCAAAACACAAAGTTAAAATACACTATAAAAATAATAACTAAAATTTAATAATTTTCATTGTGATTTCATCACAATGCCAGGCTGCTATTTTTAATCATATTTTTAAAATTTAATTTAAAATATATATTCATCACCTCAAATTAGTAGTGTCTTGCACCTGTACATCATACTTTTCCTGTTAGCAAGAGTGTCTTGCTAGTCATCTGTCTCATTCCTTTCAGGAAAAAATTTTGAATTGAGATAACTATACACGAACTTCCAGTACAAATTGAAAATCACTTATGGCTGCTGCTATTTTCGTTGTGTATTTGTCTCTTTAATCCGATTTTCAGTTCGGTAGACTATCATATACAGCATTCAGGTTATGAACTTCTTTTATTGGTTTGTCATATGCATTTCGGACTCAATACACAACGAAAATAGCAGCAGCCATAAGTGATTTTCTGAAAGAATATTTGAATATGGATGGAGAAAACAGTTTGTACTGAAGAGGGACTTAAATTACAATTGAGTCCGAAATGCATATGACAAACCAATAAAAGAAGTTCATAACCTGAATGCTGTATATGATAGTCTACCGAACTGAAAATCGGATTAAAGAGACAAATACACAACAAATTGAAAGTTCGTATACAATTAATCAGAGTCTCCTGCCCCTAAGCTTTTTATATCTGGTCTCAACTTTCATCTATCTAACTCCATTCTCGAGATAATGAAGGTCACACAGGTGAGAATTTATAGGTCTACAAGTTTTCAAAATGCACCAATGATAACTTGTCTTATCTTAAAGAAGTGCACAGAAAGCTGTGAAAAAACTATACTTGCATCTGTAATGTCTTACCTCAACTCTAGGAAAAAGAATTCATGCTTATGTTCATAAAAATGGAAGACATTTTGAACAGTGGTTATAATTACATCCAAGGATCTTTTTTTTTTTTTGCAAAGAATACATTTTGTTCTATTAATTTTTACACATTTCTGTTATTAATAATGCTTTTAAAACTTAAGGTATCATGCTGGGAGATGTCAACTTTTTGATTATCCTGCAGCTGCAAATAACGATGACAAAAGAATTATCATCATTACTGCCTGAAAGTGCCAGTATCAAAGTTATTGCTTTTGGAATGAATGTTAAAGTTTCAAGTTCCTTGACAAAATATTACACTCATTCACAGATTTTGAAAAATTAATCTGTAATAGATTAATATTTTTAGCAGAAATAATCTAGTAAAAACTATTAGTCTTTCAGCATTCTGCATCAAAGAAATACAATTGGCCCACCAGTGGCCAAGCTGTCTTCGTACCCTGAACACTGGGAGTTTGGTCATAGGTACACGCCTCACTTGGACGGGCTGGCCATGTGGAGTTTTCTGGGTTTTCTCCATATCTTGTAACGCCTAAATAGGGGCCATTTTCCCTTAAAAAGATCTCCCGGAAGACATCCCCTTAGGCAGACCGCCCAAGTGTTGCGTTGCCATAAGCTAACAAACAACAACAACAACAATTGGCGTCAAAAAAAAATATGGCAGGCATAATCATTTTGTCAATTTAGATTGACAAAATGATTATGCCTGCCATATTTATGTATTTTATGGCATTGAGAGAGTGCTGTCACTAAAATGAAACTTTTTTGTTAATGATTTTTGTACTGAAATATTGATTAAGTCAATAAAACAAATTCAGTTTAATGGGACTAACATTAAAAATTTAAACAATTTTTAGTGGGCTCAAAAATTTGACAAATACAAAATGTCTTCCACAGGAAGCTGCATATGTCAAAAATGTTTGAGCATATTAAAAAACATTAAAATTTTTCAAACATTAACACTATAAAACTGAATTTGTTAACCTATTACATTAAACTGGTGTATGCCATCATAATTTTTGAAAATGTCCATCAGCAGATTACAATCTCTTCACATTTTTCTCTTTGAGAATAACTGAACAGACTTGATGCAAACAAGCAGCAAAATTATGATTAACCTTTCAGCAATGGATTAGTCAGGTATGGTGCTATCCCTATGTAGTGGAGAATAAACGTGGGAAATTTTTTAAGTATTTTTCCACGGGTTTTTCTCATTATCATTTTGGAAAAAGATTTTGTAAACAGTTATGTCTAGTAAAGAAAAGTGTATTTTTATTGTTACATAATTCCTTTTTTATGTGAATTTTTTTTTGTGGTAGTTTTTGGCTATATCTGCAAAATTCTTTTGTGGCTATAGCCATTGTTCACCAGTGCCACACGATCGCCCTTGACATATATATCCGTCAGTCACTGCTGAGTGGTTAATGGTTCCGCCAGTTGTCTCTTTTGGCTAGGATTGCCAAATGTTCTTTATTTTAGCTAAAATGTCCTTGTCCTTAATTGAAGCATGAAAGGATGCAATTTTTTCTTTATTTTCATTTTTTAATGCCTGTGTTTCATAATGGAAGTGGCAATTTCCACACAGGCATACACCTATCCTTATATTCTTTCCCAAGAAAGCAATTGTTTACCATTAAATATTTTAAACTAAAATTTACAAATATTGTGAAAACTATAATTTTGTAATGTGAAAACTATAATGTGAAAACTATAATTTTAAAATCAAAATCTGAAGAATAAAAAAAATGTTTTTATTTTAGTCTTTCTGTCTGGTGGGCACTAAGAGGATCTTTTTCAGGCCCATTACATATTTGGCCAGCCCTAAAAAAAAGGAACAACTACTGAATAGTGAGAGATAGACCACCAGCTATCCAACCACTAGACCAAATGGAAAAACAGATTCAATTTCATTCAATTTAACTTTTTTGATGCGAAATAGGATGCAGTAGAAGTTGGCAAGGTAGCATTAATCATTTTTAAATGATCTTTAATTAATCCAATTGTAGAAATCTGGTAACACTACCTTTGTCCTTGAAAGCAACAAACAAAGTTGGTTAAGCCTTTAATTGATCATCTTAATTTTACATTGATTTGCTCCAACCTTTACACTTACTTTTTCTTACAGAGTATGGTAAACTTGTCTGTTTCAAATTATTAATAATGCTCAATTCAGAAAGCATAGCTATATCATTGTTATCAAATATAAACAATCATCTTGTAACTTTCTATGAATTTATCTCACAAAGAAAAACAAATTTCTAAAATACTATTTTAAACTCCTCCAGGTATTTCACATCACCTGAAAATCTCTAATCATGATGTCATGATCAAAGTCAATTAGCTTTCACAAAATCTTTCTATGTCAGCACACACAAACTATTCCAGAGATCAAGTTTGAAGAGAGAAAAATCATGAATCAAGATTTATGTTTACATGATCATTCCTTTTGTATAAACTAAAATGATAACTAAATGAGAGTATTTGTTCCAATATCTGTGTTCTGGTTTATTCTACATATTTAAATAAAGACTTTCTTAAAATATTTGAGTATTTAATCACACACCAGCCTTCATTCTTTGTGACAAAAATAAGCAAACATTAAGCAATCTCAAAATAATTTTTATTTAATTTCAATTTGCACTTGCTACAAAAGCATTATGTTCTTTTTTCTTATCACATAATTCCTTCTGCAAACTTGAAAGCATTCTTAAAATGTTTATAATTACAAAATTAATTGTGTATATCATTTTTAAATTTTACAACTGTTCGGTAAAATGAAAAACTGCATATAAACACTATGATTTTTCAAATGAATATCAATTTAAACAGTAGTTTTAATGCCAATTCAAAAAGGCATATATCTATAAAAATTATTAAAATATATACAGTTATAATATTGAGGCTGATTATATAGATTATTGTCAAAAAACTTTGACTTAAGCACCATAGATAGCAAAACATTCAAATGTTATTTTTCATTTCAATTATTGGAATGTGTGTAAATGCAGTAAGTTTAGTATAAAATAAATTACATAAATAAAATTTTCAAGTTTCTTCAATATAATACATTCATAGATAAAACAATCTTCTTGTGTAAATCACTTAAGTAGTGGAGTGACTACATTTATTGCAATGAACACAGACTGGTAGAGTGATCTAAGAAACATTAGTAACTATTTTCTTTATCTTCATCAGCATCATTTGTATTTATATTGGTATTTATCATGGTTTGTGATTCCATTGATTCGTCTTGCACTCTCGTAGCACTTTCATCTATGTCCGTTTCTTCTTCTTCCTCATCTTCTACATCCATTTCAAACAGACGGACGCGTCGCCTGGAACTAAACAGAACACAGGCCACTTTCCTCGAACCACTGACGGCGAAACTAGCCGCCTTCATATTTTCTAGATGACGATAACTCATTTTATCCACTAACAATCCACCATCTACTGTTATGGGTATGGCTTGTATCAAATTTTCGTTAACATTTATGTTAATATCATGAAAATCATTCGCTAAAGTTCTGAGAGGTAACTGAACAAGAACAGGTAAGCCATGTTCCAAATTACCTTCAATTTCTTCAACAAGCAACACCGACACAGTATCCTCACTATAAAATTGTGCATCTAGTATTCGGTGTCTCTTGCACCTGTCAGATAGTGGAGACATGGTTTCCTTCAATTCTATACTGGTATTATTAATTTCCCCAAAGTATATACTCACTGCTTGTAAAACTGAGGGATCAGTAAGTGATTCTCTCATAACATACATATACATACTGGGCTGTGGTTCTGCTGTAAATATTGTATAAATGAATCCTTGCTGAACTGAACTATAGTGAGAGATTCTTATGAAGTAGGATGTTGATGCTTTAAATAAAACCTGTTCATATCTTTTTCTCATTGAATGTCCCAAAACTATTGCCGGTTCAGAAAATGCATGCTCTATGGATTTCTGTACTTCGGAATGTTGCTGTACCAATGATTTTTCTGGACAATGAGAAAACAGCAGATCACTTTCTTTCAACTGTGGATGATTTTCAATAAATGCAACCCAAGGATTCTGTGATACTGGAGGAGGAAAAGAGAGATTTTCCATTTTTAAATATTGTCCCACTCTTTCTAGACTAAAAGTCGATCTTTTCTCTTGATCCCATTCAGCAGCAAAATTTTCTTTTAAAAATTCTGCTACAAAATTTAAATCCTGTTGTGTGACTTTCATTATTTCTGGAGGCACAGGTTCTTCAGAAAGCCTCAAAATCACTGCATACAGCCAACGGAAAAATGCTTTGAAATTTTTCATGCTGTTGTCAATCACTTGTTGGATTTCTGTTGCTTTCATTAAAAATGAGGCAACAGACATTACAGCTTGATTCACAGAATCAACTGATAAGCCTAAGGCACCAAATCTTTCAGTCCACTGTGCCATTCCTTTTAAATCACCAAGATGATAAAATAAAGCTTGTGATACACTTTGAAGATGTTTCAATACTAATTTTTGAATATTTGAATATGAAAGTTCAATAGAATGTCCTAATTTCTTCAGACCTTTTTCAGTTAAGTCATGAAGCAAAAATTTTTCTAACACATCTGATGGAGTACCAAACATTAAAAGTTCTAAAAAATCATCACTAACACTACCAGAAGACATTTTATACTTTTCTTCAGCATAGTTTGTAAGTTTTGAATCAATTTCTAATAAAATATCCTCCCAGGCTTCTGATATAGCACGAATTGTAGATGATAAATAACCTTGTAATGAAGCTATTTGTCCATATTTAAATGCAACTACTTGCAATTCTTGATGCTTATTTTTTATCAAAGGAATTTCATATGAAAGAAAAGAATATAAGCTTTCACCATCAACATTTTTACTTTCCATTGTCACACACAACAAACTTAAATCTTCAGATATCGAGACAGATTTTATTTTTGGTGGTTCAATCATGACATTGTTAGCTACTTCAGTACTGACATCAATTTCACCTGATGGGAATACACCAAATGAGAAAAGAAGAATTTTTCCATTCGAAGTTCCAACAATCAAAATGTTTAAATTATTTTGATCTTTAAGTTTTTTTGCATCTTCCACATTTTCTTCTGACTGTTTACCTAGCGATCCATAGCTTTTACTGAGGGAAGGCAATTTTGATAAAAAATGATGAGATAAATCTTCGTAAAAGTATATTTCATTATCGGATTTTGTTACGTCACTTGTGGATTTTGCCACCCATGTCATAGCCGTAACTGATGCTCTTATTTCAATAGTATGAAGGATATCTGCATTTTCCACATCACATAATACTATTTTTCCTAAAAATATAAAACATTACAATTTACTTGAAATGCAAAATATATTTTTTTAAGAATTTTACAGGATTTGCAAACTAAATTATCATGTGCTAAATTAAACTAAACTAAATTAAACAAAATTAAAATGACCTTGCATATCTAAGGAATACATATGTTACCGCTAAAGCTCGAAATCCGTTAATGTGCACATTACCTAGCTAATCTGCACATTAACTAGGGTGATCCGTTAAAGTTGCTAAAATTGTTCTATTTCTCAAATTACCTAGGTAATGTGCAGAGTATCTAGGTAATCTGCACATTACCTACTAGGCACTCGGTAAAGTGAAACTAAGATTTTTGCTGGAACAACAGCAACGTTTCTGTACGCTTAAATTAACATCATGTTATTTATTTAATTTTCAATATCTAAAGAATCAAGTTAATACAATCAAACAATCAACAAATTAGTTGATTGAATCAATCATCAAT